TAACTTGACCTCGTAAATATAATAAATTATGTTAATATTTATTTTTTTTTTTATATTTCTAGACCCCCAGATTTTTAACCATTTTTTTTACGCCTAGGCCTAGGTGGTAGGTACTATAGTACTATTTTAGGTGCACTTTAAGATTTCGTAGTGCATAACGCCATAAACGCAATTTCAGTTTTTGACTTTGATGGGGGGGGGGCTATAACGTGTATTGTAACTAATGGTGTAGTTACAGGGTGGGGGGTAAGGGGTTTCCACCCCCAACCACAAAAAAAAACTTTTTATATATGGAATTAATACCAATTTGAAAAAAAATAAAAATGCCGTTTAGTTTAACTAATAATTTGTAATTTGTGTCATAAATATATTTTAACCCACCCCCAACCACAAAAAAAAACTTTTTATATATGGAATTAATACCAATTTGAAAAAAAATAAAAATGACGTTTAGTTTAACTAATAATTTGTAATTTGTGTCATAAATATATTTTAACCCCCCCCCTCCCAGAAAAAAAAATCGTATCTACGCCGCTGATTGGAGGGGCTTAGCCAGGGCTGAATACTTGGTATGTATTGGCCCATCGAGATTTTCACTTATATAAGTGGCCCAAAATTACGTGTATAATTATTACGAGCTTATAGGTGGCCAATCGTATTTTAAAGATGAATTTGTTTTCACTCACACGACCGGCCCAAACTTTAAGCGGCCCACCGAGATTTTCTCGGTAGCTCTCCTAACCAATCCGGCCCTGTGTTTAGCACCTATTTTCACCTATGCGCATCTCTGAAAGCACGGCATAACTCCGTTCAGAATCTAAAATTAATTGTTGTGAAACTACGACACAACCATACCATGTTTTGTAACACAATTTTTTGTTAGTTTGACTGGCACACTGTAACTATAGACAATATTAATAATACGTATGGATGAAAAAACTAATGTAAATAGTCCTCCATGATATGCCCAAATGCATAGTTATTTCTCTTTAGACTACCTCGTTCACGGGTTTCTCTCTCTAAGGTTAGGTCAGTCCAGTAGTTAATAGGTCTATGGTAATAATCATTCGGTATACTATGAAAAACAATAACCACCGAAGCTGATATCAGCTCGATTGCAATCGTTAAATATTATACAATAATAATATTATATCCATCATCCATGGCTACATATATAGCTATTTACCATATAAAATATAATATAATTATTTAGCCATGATTATTATCTTAGTCGGTGATTGTCGTCAAAGATAACCGTTTTCAGGGAAAAAAATTAAAATAACCATTACATTGCAGTTTGCTATAGAAGATAGAAATAAACGAAAACAAAAACAAAATAGTCAAAATACACTATGCAAAAGTAAACATCCCGTCTCAAATTAACATAAAAAATATATTTCCTTCTTTAAATAGTCACATTTTATCATAATCGCCACTTAACAATCATTTATTACAAATTATTTAATTTATCATTAAAAAATACATGAAAATTAGATTACACTTTTATAATAATCAGTTATGTCAACCAAAAAAGAGAGTGAGATCCAAATTAACAAAAATAATTTTGTTTCAACATYAATAAAGAATTAATTACCTCAATGTATTTGTTGTTTTCATTTAAAAATATGTACCTATTAAAATCTTATTTTGAAATATATAAAATATTTATATTATATTATAGAGTAAAGAATATTTACTATTCAATAATACCTGGCTTCTAGGTGAGTAGGTACTAATATGCATTTGAAATTGAAACAATATAACTATTTAAGTTAACTTAAAATAGTTAAATAAAGCAGAAAGTAGAAAACTAAAATGTGGAAACAAAGCTATGGGTTTTTTTTAATTTTATATTGTGGTGATAACTAAATATTTTCATGGAATAAATAACTTTAATGACTAACTCTCCTCCATGATTCCCCCAAGATAGTTCTCTCTCACTCACTCTATATCGACGCCACATCTTGTDGGCCGGGTGGTGAGGAACACGCAGTCCATTAGTTGATAGGTCTATGGAATTTTCTCATTGGCCGCCACTCTCCAGCGCCTGGGGCTACCAAGTACCAGTGGTTTGCGCCTCAACTGCTTTAGCGTTTTATACTGTGAGAAGAYCTGAAGATATAAGAAGATAAGTAGATTTAAATCTAAAATTCTAATCCCTTTGTTTCTCAGATAAGAAATGCAATTATATCATAAATAAAAATAATCTGTAATTGGTTATAATATCAAACGATATACGGATATACCATATTATACATTTCGCACTGACTACTGTATACTGTAATAAATTGATAATTCGATACCCATATTATTAAGGTCGTACCACGGTAGCACTTTTAATACTATTTACTCTTGACATTTTATAAATTAACGCCAATATTCAGTTGTTCATAGCTCCTTCAATTATAAACACATTAATGTAAACGACCCGTCAAAATTCATTAAAAATTATTCTGAACACTAATCATATTTTAAAAATATAGGTTTCCRTTTGAATTTTAAAAGTTAACCCTCGAAACTACCCAATAATTTAATTATTTGAAACATTTATGCCGGATCGCATAGAAAATGTATTTATATTAAAATTTAATAACCAATCATGGTCTATGTTAAAAATGATTAGCTCACTGTTTGGCAATCTTGTATTCAATCTGGTGTTAAAATAATATAAATTATTTAATAGGAAAAAAAAAGTTAAATTTCTCTAAGACAAGATATATTAATTAAAATGAAAGCATACAATTACTGTTCATGGAAAATGAAAATTTCATGGCTTAATAAGATACATAAAGTGTGCACGTTTTATTATGCTGAAATACTTCAAAATGGTATGTAGAAAATTATTTGCATATAAATACCAAAATGTCTTAATAGAAACATGTAAACATAAAATTAATTTAGACATAATCAACGAAAAAAAAAAAATATAAAATAATTATTTTTAATAAATATTATATAAATCTTAATTGTGTCAATATTACTTATTATCTAGTATAATATTATTTGTTATATTTCAGTATGAAAAAAAATGTTTAATGCTGTAATTTATGTGCAATACAAATTGTTCTGAGATAAACAACTATTTGAGTTCATTTGATAATATATTTAAAATAGAATGAGCACATTTAATATTTACAATAAAAGAAGACTATGGATGAAAACGATCATTGTCACATTAAACTTATGATTAATATTTATTTTTTTTGATTTTTGTAAATAGTGACTGGAAATTATCGCTAGATCAATTTAATATATTATATATATTTACTATGAAATTTGTTCCATAATTGTAATATTGCTCGATGTATATTTCATTTGCATGAAAAAATTAAGGAATCTATTGAGTATATTTTGATCATTTTYTCCAATGATTTTTTTTTTTTAATAGGAACAACAAGTYTCTAATTTAATATGTACGCGTGTTATTTTGCTAAGATGAACTACTATTTCAGATGGATAATATTTTATTGAAATGGGGGATTTACGAGCATTAAATATACATTTCGAGACAATTTCCTACCTAACCTAATCATTTTCTTTAACAACACATTTTATGCTTACAGATTGAGACGGACTGAATTTTATTCGAAAAATAGTTGTATAAAAATGTTGTTATAAACTAAATTGACTGAATTTTAATGAAATTATGTATCTACAATATTCAGTTGTCAATTAGGAATAGGAAGACACAAGAAGGCGATATCATTCCATTTTTATACAGAAATTTTATGCAACATAGAGATAAGTTTGCCAATTTTCATCTGATCTTGCAAGGTAATCTCTTTCAATCAGTCCTTCAATTATTTTTTTGATAATAGCCGGAGGAGGTATGAATTTGACTCTGAGTTGTTCTACAACTTCCACTACAAGGGCATTATGCTATAAAAACAAAMATAGATAAAATCATTAACATAAATATTTCACATGAAACCAATGAGATAAAAATCGTATTCTAATGATTACATTAATTTTTTTTCGAGATTTCATAACGCGTACAATAGCAGCTTCAATTTCATGCTTACGGTACTCATCTGTCTTGTTTCTAGTTTCTTTTCTTTCTGATTCAGTTTCACCTTTAGCTTCAGCTGTATGGATTTTCACTCTAAAATGAACAGAGTAATTTAGTGACACAAATTCAAATAAAAATATATTGTTTATACCTATGCAATTTTGAAATAAATAACTCATTAACACAGAATTCATGATTTAATTCTATTTCTTTACATTTAGGAGTCTTCAAAAGAATACGCTGTGAGGGCTTTCCCAATGCTAAAGATTGTAATGCTATAATTAAATCTTTATCAGGAATATCAGTTTCTCTTCGTATGTCCTAAAATTTTATTTTTAATATTATGTTAACATACAAAATAATTCTATATAAATAAAATACAATTTGAATAAATATTATATTATTATTAATAATATTAGTTTACTTCAAAAGATAATTTTTCATGAGTATTGAACAATAAAAGAATACACATCTGATATGTCGACACTTGAATTATGTATTTTTGCACAGTAGATGGTTTGGGGGAATTAGCTGAAGAAGATACACTTGTCGATAAGTCATTGTCTGATAGTTTTGAACCATAGAATACAGCTTCCAAATCAGCTGACCCAAGTTGTGGTTGCAATGTTAGTAATCGTCGCTCATATTTCCTCATATAAAATCTGTTATGAAATATTTTATAAATTACTAAAATTAAATAAGTTATTAAATCATAAATCTTTAATATTCAAGGTTCTACTCATGTTCAGGAGTTACTAATGTGAAATTACAACTCAATGTTTTTTATTTTCACCACCTCATATTGTATTCCTCTSATTTACTTCTTGTTCTTAATTGAATTAAAAAGTGTGTATTCAAACTTTATTAATAGTGTTATAGACAATCCTGATAGCATACAAAATATAGAATTGACAACTTATTTACTGATAGAAGTTTTTTTTTTTTTTGAAATCCAGATTTCATTATAATTTCTCATTAAAACTTTTGTATTTTTCTATCAATAACTTAATTTCTAACCGTACAATTTTGATGATTTTTTCAAAAGAATCATCTGCACAATTTTTACAATTTTTACTATTAATTGATTCCGTAGATAATTAATTAGGTGTGGTTAAAAAAAACACCAACATTTACACTTTAAATGGGCTAATCCTGCTTTGAGATAATATGCACTGTTGTGTTGTTTTTTATTTAGCTTGCGAAACGACAGGCGCTGTATTATTTGGAACGTCATACTTTTTGAGTTTTAACAGCGAGTAGCTGATGTAAAATGCAGTATGCATTATGCGTTAAGTATAGTAATATTATCAAAATTGTAGTATTATAGTTGTGAACACTATAATACCTAGTACAATATATTAATATTTTTAAAAATAATGTAAACTTAATATTATAATAAAGAAATGTACGTAAACGTAGATTATTAGAATATGAGGGACAACGTAAATAAATATGTACTTATATAACTATTTATAACATTATGTAATTAACTTTTTACTACATCATCCGACCACACGATGCGTCGCAATATATTATGAATCCACAAAGCATATTTTATAAAATATTCACATAGACCTTTATTGGATCCGAACTCGCTATTATATTAAAACTGTTATCACAAATKTTTAAAATKTATCATTAAACATTATAAATATGACAATCTTCATAATATGATGTTTAAATACTAAATTGTATAATACTGTAATAGTTTAGATTCATTGAATAAAGTCCAGAACGTTATAATTAGGGCTGGGATTTTAATGCACTCAAAAACCCCGAARAATGYCCTRAAAAAAGGGCAATAAATCTACAAATTTTTTTATTTTTAATAATTTTAGTATAAATTACAATAAAAAGTTACTCAAACCTTGTCCAATAATATAATACGAATTAGGAGTACCTACTTATAATCTGTTATATTTATTTAAAAACCATGTTGAAGTAAAAATCTTAAAATCTTAAAATAAAATTTCAAATTCATACACTTGGTATCCAAAAACAAAAAATGCTCCAAAAACTCTAAAATGCCCTAAAAAATTAAGAAAATGACCTAAAAACTAAAAAATGCAAAATAAACTTTCTTATTTTCATTCAAATGTTCATAAAACAAATTTGTGACAAGACGAGCATTGCACAGTAAGCTTTGAAAAACAATGCAAAGTGCATTGAAATCCCAGCCCTWGTTATAATATAGATCTTACATTGAGATATAAATATAGGTATATATTTATGGTACGACTAATGGCTAAAATGTACTTTACAACCCCATGCAAATTTTTAATTTTGTTTTTTTTTTTTTTGGATCTTATTTACTAACTATTTAAAAATAATGTTCCAAACAGAATTTGTCTGCTGGACTGAGTTTCGAAGTTTTAGCCTTTGGAAGTTTCTGATTGACTGTGTTTTACGCATGAGCGCAACAATATGTCAACCACGTCTTTTGTGATTTTTTCTAGTTTTTTCTTGGATATTACATTATTACGTTTTACGTATAAAGATATTAAGGAGTTAAGAACGATGGTGCAATAAGAATTTAGTTTCGAAGTTGTGGTAATATAACGTAATAACCAGGACCGTATTTGGGTGGTAGCTACAGGGTACTGTTTCCCCGGGCGGCTGAGTAAGAGAGGGCAGCTAATTTTTTTTATAATTTAAATTTGTATTTTGTATAATGATTAATGAGGCGTATTTTTTTTTGCTCCTAAATTTCTAAATACAGCCCTGGTCATAACTATTTACGCCAACATTGTTGTAATTGCTAACCCGCGTTGGTCACGCACAGGCACGGCACAATCAAGTTGATTTTGGCACTTGGCGTAACGACATTTTAATGGTGTATTATAATTTTCAAAATAATATAATATAATCTAAAATCTTATTTAAAATTAAATTATTATTAGGTATTACCCAAGAGGTTGGGAGTTTGGGTGACTGGAGCCAGTAGGCGAACTATTTGTTACTTTAACTAATATGGTTAAATTTACTTATTAAATTATCCGTCTGCCCAAAGAGATGCTTTCCTCCCCACGACTCCGAAGGGTTCATCCCCCTCCCAAAGGTTAGCTATTTTAGCWCCAGGGGATGGGGGCCGAGCCCCGGTAACCGGAGCAGGCAGGCGAAGCGATCAACTACTTATCATGCTCTAACTTGCTCTCTAAACAAATTTCAAAAACTATCATTTTAAAAAGGTTAAGATACGTAAGTACCGAAATAGAAAAAAATATGTATGAAGAGCGTGGTAAATTATAGCGTGTTGGATATGCGTAAAAAACGCGAAATTTTTTATTTTCAAAGGCCATAACTTCGAAACTAATTCCGACTGACAAATTCTGATTGTACCATTCTTCCAAAATGGTTAACATAAGTAAGTTTCAAAAAAAAAAAAAAAAATTGATAAATTTGCGTTAGGTGGTAAAGTGATTAATAAAATAATATTGTTAAAATTCAAGTTATTTAGAAGAAAAAATACAGTTAGTGTATCTACAGTAATTATATCACTCAACAACAACCCACCAGTACAACTAATTCGTTTTATTCGTAAAATATGATTCAAGATAAATTAGGCACTAATTATAAATATTGATATTCTTATAGTACACTTACAGTTGGTATTCTTYRAAAGCACTCCTAGGAACTAATGGTACATTGCACTTTGATAATGCACATATAGGCCAAAAATCTGAGGTTAAAACACTCACAGTAAGATCCACACCATGTAAATGCTGCAAAAATAAAAAGTTGGTTAGTTGTACAATATTATATTAAATTGAATAATGGGTGTAAACTAATATAATTAAAAATATTAGCGTTGGCCAACGATATCAATATATTGTCATTTTGATATTAAATCGATATTGAATTAAATGTTATAGGTATCGATATAAACAATAAAGCGATATCGTTAAGAGGACGCTACACCCGCATAATATGTTGTCTCCGTCTTACAAGTGCGTAACATTGCAAAAACTGTTTCGCGCGGTAAAGAACCGAGAAAACTACAGTTATGACTAAGAAACGAAATTTTCACCACATAAGAAGGAGAATTTCGTCTGTGCAATATCGTTTTTATTTTTTCGATATCAGAATTACAAAAAAAGTTATTCATGCTTAAAAAACACAAAATTAATGTATTATAAAACAATAAAATTTTTTTTTGTATAAGTGATATCGAAAAAATAAAAACTATATTGCACAGACAAAATTCTCCTTTTAAGTGGTGAAAATTTCGTATCTTTCACGGTTCTTTCCCGCATGAAACAGTTTTTGCTATGTTACGCACTTGTAAGACGAAGACAACACATGCGGATGTAGCGTCCTCTTAAGATCAAATCTTTTCACTATACATAATAAAGTATTTAGCTATTAGTAGTTAGTAGGTACCTATATAATGGATTATTATTTAATATTATTAATCTTATTTATGAATTGTATTATCTAATAGCTATTACATGCCAAATGGTATTAGAAATATTAAACTTTACTTTTGGAACATTACTAATTACTAATAGTAATAAAATAAAAATATATTGTAATTTTTATAGGTATATATTTATTGAAACATTTGAAACGGCTGTACTTTGTGTCAACTGGTAGATAATTCCTAGACATTTAGTTTAGTTCCGATTAATATATATATAAATATAAATAGAATCTGAAGAAGACTCTCCTAAATTTTTTCGATTCTTAATGGTTGACAGTTATGATGATGAAGTAAAAGATGGTAAAACGTTAAATCTAATCATTCCAAATTCTCCAATCGATCAACTTGAGGCGTACAAAAACTTAAAAACGAAAATTTCTTACAATCAAAATCTTCTTAGCTAGTGGAAAGAAACTGAAACTGTAAGTATTATTAGCTGTTGCAACTATTGTTCCCCGTGAACGCTTATTCAGTGATTTTTGGGACAGACCATATCACAAAAAGGAAACAAACTATCACCAAATAAAGTCAATCAACTTATTCAACTCCTATTTTTAAACTCATTTTACATATCTGAAGCAATGGCAGAAAGCTTAATAGTAAGACAAATAATAATAATACATTGCTGTTTATAAAAGATTTTAAAATACCAATAAATAAATATCATAACTTCATTTATGTTTTAGGAAAAAGTACTAGATGAAATTGTAGGAGATAAATAAACAATATTATAAGTAATTAATTAGTATTTATGTTTAATAATTTTATAAAATTTAATAATTAATAATTATTTGATATTTTTTATTTTTTGTAAAGTAATTTTAGTAAGTGATTAAGAACAAACGGTAGAGATTTTTAATTATGAATTCATTTAATATTACCTAAAGTGTAATGTTAATAGCATAAAATATAAATATTTTAGTATTTTACATTGATATATCGCGATACAATATCGATATTGAAAGAAAGTTATATCGTTGGCCAACATTAAAAATATATTTACAATGTATTATATCCTAATATTATACAATAATTTGAAATTCAGTAAACTAAGCTAAAATTGTTATTTATGTAGGTCTTCAATTTAACAAATTTGAATTTTAGAGAAAAAAATTATAATTTGAATAAAATAGAGTTGAAAATTATGTATTACATACGCTCTATTTAGCTAACTACATGTTTATAATTTAATTTACTTTGTATTTTTTATTTATTGTTACATACATGATACATTTATTTGATATAAAAATGCATGTAAATAAACTATTATGTTTAGTAATTTTGTGACTTCTACTTTTTGATATTTTGTTGACCTGAATTGAAATACTTTTCAAAAACATTTAAAAATATGTATAGATTTAGGCATTACATTATTTATTTATAATAATATAATATAGATTGGTATTGATCCTTAACAAAACTAATTGAGAAACACCTGCAGTCATGATTGTCTATGCAGTTTAGCAGTATTAAACACAGAGCTAGAGCAAACAATTAATATTGCTTTTGAWAAAATTATTAACGATTTTGCAAATGCATAGTCAAGACGGAAAAATGTCTTGATATAATTTAATTTTTAAATTTAGTGGTTAATCTGGTTAAAGTATTTATGTGAACCCAACCTAACGTAATTAATTTGTTACATTGATTTATTTTATATAGTTAGTATTTTTTTTTAGCTAGTGTTCTACACAGTATTTTATAATTTTTGTTTTATGCTTAGCATAACTATTATTTTWAAAAAAAACATTGAAATTTAATATTTTAAATTACATTTACTCAATGTTTCTCAAAATAAAACATAATTTTAGATTTAAGCTTGCCTTTGTATGAATTTTAGAAAAAATAAAAATGTATTTAGTATTAGTTCTACTAAATTACTATAAAATAGAAAAAAAATATTGATTTTATATTTCAAATTTAGTTTATAGCGTGGCGCAATACTTGTGAAATATCAAGGTACCTATGTGTATATGTAACTCTTTTGTTTCATTATTGTGCCACTCTTAGTTTTGGAAACATTTTGTGGAGGTCACTTTTTTAGCAAAAGTTAAACTAAAAGTTAACTTTCCTAAATTTTTGTTTGGTTCTTATAAAATGCATTTATGATAAAGGGCCTGAAAAATTGTTGCATCCCTGTGCATAGATACACCACTGTCCCTATCTAACAGTTGAAGTGGTATTGGGTGTTAAAAAAGACAAAAGTGAATTATTCAAAAAAATCCTTAAACTTATGCCTTATTATACTTATATTACTTACACTATTAGACTTAGCAGTGTATTCTTTAAATTCTTCCATGATAGTATTAGATATGGACATATCTTTCAACATACCTTTCAGTTTTGTAGTAAATTGACTGCCACACTCAGCCTACATGGAAATTATAAAATCATTTAATTTTAAAGTTTTTACCAAATAAAATAAAAATTACCTTGAGTTTTGAGATCATATTATTTTCATTGTCATTGCTGAAGGATTTATTTGAAAGTAATCTCTTGGCTAAATGTCTTTTATAATGCCTTTCAAATACATATTTTCCTTCAATAAAGCGGAAAATAACCATAACTTTGTCCAAAACTGATTCTACATCACTTTCAGTTAACTGTTATAATATATTAACAATTTTAAATTTTAAGACATTTTAAAAATAGCTAGATAAAATATTTTTTCCCGTTGTTATTGCAATTAAATWATGGAAAAACTCGCCTAAACCAAAACTTTTTAATTTTTTTTAAGAGTATTGCTATCTGATACAAATTGTAATACATTTATGCATTAATTTCATGAAGAAAACTATAAATAAGTAAACAAATATATTTTAATATTAATATTACCCAATGCACGTTCTTTTTCAACATTTCATCAATAAACAATGATAGATATTCTGGTGATTTAGAATTGATATTGAAAAAATATTTAAAATCAGTTACAATCCTTTCTTTAAACATTTGATCATTGTTAAAAGAATGTACTAAAAATAAATTAAATCTATCTTTCAAATCCAGCAAACTCTGAAAAATAAAATTTGCAGTAGATAATGTTAATTAAACAATTCTACAGAATAGAAGTAAAAAAAAAAAAAAAAAATATTGACTATTATTTAAGCACTGATAAGGCAACTAAAATATGTCAACCTCTAATATTATCCTAATATTTTAATGTTAAAGCATTACATAGTTATAGGAATTACAGTTGAATGATCATACTACTACAATAGTATCTAGGACATTAATTTAACTATTATTCTTTGTGTATAGCGCATAATAGATAACATCTATATAATGATTTATAACAATTAAAATAATGCAATTATTGAAGTAATGTTTCTTTTTTTTTGTTATTTAAGTTAAAGTTAATCAATTTTTGAACGTTAAATTAATTAAAGTAATGGAAAGTATGTAGTTCTGAAAAAAACATAGTACTAATTTGAATTAAATAAGGTGAACAAAATGTTGACATTGCAAATTATTATAAGTATTAATATATACATATGATACATTGATACGTAAAAATATAACTTTCAAATAAAATAAATATTGATGTATCCAAAATGTTAGTTTATAATATGACTTCAAAGCTAGTTTCTTTCATTACTAAAAATTGTCTTGATCTATAGAAAGTCATTATAACCAATTTCCATTATACTCTATATATCATAGGCAAAGAATTATTTTTACTATTATAATTTGAGATATAAATTTAAAATTTTAATGACCTGTATATAGTGGACTGCATTAGTATTAATATCTTGTTCTTGTACAAGTGATTTTCCTAATTCTCTTAAATACTGACTAACACTATCAGACATAGTTTTTAAACCTCCAGAAACTTGTGATAATAGTTTGTACATGCATGCTAAATCATCAATTTTGTTGTTCTTCAACATGTATACAACACCAGAATTTTCCATCTTAAAAAAAATATAAAATTATTAAAATAACTTAAGACATTAACTAATTAAATCCTAGTTTAAAATAATTGAATATTTACTTCAATAATGGTTTTCATATTCCTTTTAATTAGTTCATTTGCAACAACTTCAACAATTCGATTCTCAGTTGAATCACCAAGGTATTTTTTTGCACGTTCTGATTCTTCTATAATTTTAGATTCAACTTTTTTAATATAAATGCATGCATTGTTTTCCTCTAAAAACTTTTGACTTTCTATCTATAAATATTCAAAGTTTCAATGCAATTATGAATTTATAAACATTTAAGGACATAGATACTTTATAAAATTCAGCAGATTGTTCCAAAAATGGGTTTTCAAAATCTTCTTCATAAACCATAGTTCCAGTAATTCCAAGATCCATTAACATTTTACATGCATTTTTAATGGCTATTCCATCAATTACTTCACCTTTCCTTTCAAGTTCTATCAAATTCAACAGAGTCGTTCGAAGATGATCACGAATATACTCATATCGAACAATCTATCAGAACAAATATTACAGTTAAAAATATAGATTATGCATTTAAAAATATTTTCATAAATCTTTGAATACACTACACACAATATATTACACTAATTTAATAGACTATAGTCAGAAATATAAGAAAAATATTTAAACGCTAAATTCCATTTAAGTTAAGAAGTCAAGAATCTTGGCTTGTAATTTTTTGTGCACAACAGTCATAGATTCTCAGTGGAGAAGAAAAAGTAAGGTGGTTAGGTGTTACAGTGTTGATTGTCAGATTAAAACTGACCATCGCTCAGGCGCCTTCTTAATATTATAACAAAATAAAAAACTATTTAAATTATAAATAGTATATTGTACATATTTTTCAAAAGTTATTAGTTAATAAATATCAATATTTATTTAAATTTGTATAACTTACTAGATCGCGAAATAAAGTGAGCCCCACATTATAAACATTATCAACTCCATTATTCTTAACATAACATCTGTCCAAGTACTTCAATATATCACATATTATTGCCATAGCAATTTGATAGTCATTCCAAACAACATTTAAAACTTGTAAAAAATTTTGATTTAATGCCTTTAGAACGTCTTCTCTAACCTAAAAATAATTATATATTTTAAATTTGATTATACTACATTTTTTAAATTACAATGTTATACAATAATTATTAATAATTTAATTCAATGATTATTAATAATTTAATCTAATAATTATTAATGATTTAATATAATAATTATTTATAATTATACCTTATTTTTTAAATGATCTATTATAACTTCCATTAAGCCATAATACAATGTCTCACCATCTCTTAACAATACCATCATATAAGCATTTCGGTACAGTACTTCAAAACTTAGACCAGAATGGTTTTTCTTTAGAATTTTTTGAATAGAATTTTTTAATATCGCCCAATTATTATCAATTGATGTATCATCCATTGTCAACTGAAATAATATTAATATTAAATATTATTATGTCCCATACTAAATAGATGAAAACCTTCAAAATTAATAAATATACTATAATTAAAAATAAACTTTCATATAGTATATTATTCTTTGAATTATGGCATGCAGCATGTGAATCTGTAAATCATTTATGCCCACTAACTACTTAACCCATTACCATAGATATATTATATTATTTATATTATCCTTAAAACACAAAGTCAAATAACTCAAAAACTAGGTAATAGTTTAAATTTAGATTTAGATACATCAAAATTCTCAATCATCAACAAAAAAGATCAGAAATTTGAAAATATGGACTTAAAGTCTACTCAAAAATTCTAAAAATAAGAATTTGAATTAATTTGTTTTAATAAAGAGAAAAATGGGGGTGAGCATGCTCAATAAATCACCCTATATAATGTTATCAAGATGAAAATGATTTTCAGGGACAAGTAATATTTCTCAAAACTTGGAAAATTAATATCCATTCTAAAATAATATAATTCAATGAAAATTATTTAAACAAAATTAGAAATACCAGTCTGAAAAGAGTAACTGTCACTCAAGAAAAAATCTAATTAAATTTTTATTTTTAAAGTTTATAATGTAAATCCATTAAAATAACGAAATCGAGTTAACAAAACGGCGTTAAAGGGACGAAGATCGCAAACGTCAACGGAAGCCGGAGAACCAGTGGATTTTCAAAGTGATTGAGTTATGCAATAATTATTTTTTTAACCCCAACAGCCAAAGGCGGGACACCTTTAGACACCACAATAATCTCGTTACGTGATATTATTCTGAGAATATGAATCATTACTTCTATGGTTCTGTTGATCAATCTGTATACAAAGCTATGTAAAGTGTGATCGTGCGTGTGTTTGAGGATATGAGAGCTATGCCTTATATTCACGTTGGCTGACAGGATACACAGCTTCGTTTCGATTATGATAGTGGCGGTGATCTTTGCTTAAGCGTTCGCGTCAGACATTGGTGGCGAATATCAACTAAACAAGGGCATAATTATGAAATAACACTTTGAAAAATGGAAAATCATTAAGATCTGATACAAAATACACAATGTTATTAAAAAAAGTTGACACAAAAAAAAATAATTATAATTGTGGTAGAAAATAAATAAATTTAAAAAACCATGACTGACCGTATTACTACACACATGACGACCAGACAATCCCATGTGGTTTTCGTTTTGCTTCAAGGTTCGATCATTGTCAATTCGGCGGAAATGAAATATAATGGCTGGCACGTGAGTTGTCACCACTACCGCGGTATATGGGCGTAACAGAAACTAACCTCAATCCCTGGGGATGACATAGATCTTATACTAATAGACAGAACGATGTTGTAGTTCCGACGCCCAAACGTCCAACCGCACATGCGCACAAGAACTATGGGATTGTGCAATAATTTTGAATACGTTATGTTAGTGATAACGTCATTACCGTCATTCCAAAGACATTGTAACAACCATAGACATATAAATAAATGGACTGCGCTTAGAGAGAGAAATCATGAAACCGACATTGATGAGAGAGATACAAACTGTTGGGGGCAACCATGGAGGAAATAATTTAATACTCAAATTATTCCATGATATTATCAACTACTCCCGCGTTCAAAGCATAGACATATAAATAAAATTTATTTATGTCTATGATTGTATACAATATAGTATATATAGCTGTGATCTGTGATTACTGCAAACGATTGCACCCATAGACTTAAAGTAAACTTATGGTAAAGTCTATGATTGCACCTACCACCTGCGTCAAGGCCCTCTAATTGGCACTTCGGGCTTCGACTATAGTTTAATAAGTTTTTTATTTATTAGGTATATTTATTGTATATAGGTAACAATAATACCTAAAAATGAAAACTTGTTCTATTAAAGGTTGTAAAACAACTATTAAAGAAGAAGGTATTAAAATGCATGGGTGAGTAGATATCAGATATTATATTGCCAGTTAAATAATTTATGTAATTATATGTACTCATATAATATTACTCAACTATATATTAATTTAGTATACCCAAAGGGAATATTGGTGATCAATGGGTCCACCAAATAAGACAATTTCAGCCAGATTTTCAGCCAACAAAATACAGTGTGATTTGTAGAAAAAACATTTTGTTGAATCAGCTTATTTTGAAGGTGGAATACATGGTAAAAAGGTTTTGGACAAATCTGCACTACCTAGTTTGTTTAAAAAACGTTAGTACTTACCATTAGGTATATTACATATAAATGTGTCACAATATCTATTTCATTTACTGTTTTTTTAATGTAGCTATCAATAAAAATCTTTTTCCAAGTGAAAATAATGAGGTTGTTGAGGTATTTCCTGAAAATTTGAGMGAAACATGCCTCAGTGATAGTGAGTGTCAGTTGGATAAACAGGATACTCAATGTATGTATTCTAATTAATTATTTATGTTTTTCTATCGTTGCATAACTAACCTAACCATTTTGAATGTAAGGTATGATACCAGAACAAATGGTTTTCAAAGACTCAGACGAATCAATAAATTCTGCGATCATAGATATACCAATGCCTATAAAATCCAGGTAGCTATAGATTAATTTAAGTAGACATTAATTTATACGGGTATGTTTTAATTTTTATATTTATACAATTATATATTGTATGATTTCAGGAAGCGCAAATTCTATGCAAGGGATTTCAAAAGTATCGACGATATAGAAAGTCCAAACAGCAGATTAAAATATTRGATTGCCTCAAAGAATGAACACGAAAATCATGTAAAAAAATCAAACAACTGAGATTAGCTAACTTACGTCTAAAAAATAGAATAAAAACAATGCATAGTTAAATAAGCCACTTAAAAGATGAGAAAAAACTAATTTTAGATAATTGTTTTTCTGTTCTTAAGGTATATTTTGATTTAATTTATTGTAAGCGAGGATTTTCTGTTCTTGTCTATCACMYGRCACACAGTCAACATAGCAATATTTAGTTGTATTCTGATGCGATAAGAAAACTAATTTGTTTGTATACAAAATATTATAAATTGCTCTTGTTCATTCAAAATTCATCTGATTTAAAAAAAAAAATGTTTTGTTCACATTATAAATAAATACTCAAACAAATTTGTTATTTTAAAATCTTATAAAAAATGGTTAGGTTAGTTAGGAACCTAGCCTAATATATTTTTTTAAGACCATGGTAAAAGATGGGCTCTTAGTCATATATTACATTGTTAAAAACAGCACCTCAATATATTTTGAATTTGAGCTACTGACTTTCCAATTAATTTACATACCTACTGTAAAAGTTGCTGTTGCCTATGTGATAGAAAGAAACAGAAATCACCATTTCCAATTCCTTAAATGTAATGTATGTTAATTTAAAACCAAATTCTTCATACTCTATCTTGTGGTGCATGCTAACCATAGGCTATCATTCAGTTTAGAACTTTGAAATRCTACCATTATTTACCCCAAKGTGGCCTTTATTTTGTTTGCACATCAAAACTGGTAAATTTTTATATTTTTTATTAGAATTTTATGTTAAGGTCTCATATGTATACTCCATCCTAATGGCAAGACTTTGTTTTTAGTGAATGTGCTTAATATTTAAAAAGGTAGCAACTTAATTTTTCATTTTTGGTACTAATTTTGTTTAAAAATGTCTCCAGCCAACTGAAAAATACATGTTGTGTAGAGTATTTATTCTATGATGTTTTGTAATCAATTTTAAATGTAAGTATAAATATAACATTTTTGTATTGTATTATTTCTTTAGTGTTTCATTTCTATTGTGATGCATGTTTGTTAGTACACCTTTTKGTGTTTAATGYATAGACATATAAATTTATATGTCTATGGTTTAATGGCTTTAATAACCATTTAAACTATCAACATTTCAGGAAACTTTACCAAGTTTTGAAAGTGAAATTATATTTAAACAGTTACATAAAACAACAGCTAAGATGATCACCCCTGAAATTCGAAAATTTGCTCTTACATTGCACTTTTATTCACCATCAGCGTACAACTATGTTCGAGATGMTTTTAACAAAAATCTCCCCCATCCAAGCACTATAAGAAATTGATACTCTTCAATAGATGGTGCGCCTGGATTTACATCTGAATCATTAAATGCTGTGAAAATAAAATGTAAAGAAATGGAAACAAAAACAAAATGTTAGTTTGTGGTTTACTTATGGACGAAGTTTATATAAATGATCAAATACACTATAATGGCCAAAGACAACAGGGATTTATAAACTATTGAGCGGGTAAACTAGATCACGATGGGTTGCCAAGAGCCAAAGAAGCATTAGTATTTATGCTAGTGGCTTTGAATTCAAATTGGAAAGTTCCAGTTGCCTATTTTTTAGTAAACGGTTTAAATTCTCAGGAAAAAGCCAATTTGGTGAATACAGTATTGTCATTTGTACACGATACTGATGTTAGTGTWWWWACACTAACATTTGATGGAACAGCTACTAATTTATCTATGGCAACAAACTTAGGTGCTCAACTTTTATTTCCTGACATCAAACCATATTTTGAACATCCTGAAACCAAACAAAAAGTACATTTATTTTTGGATCCGGCACACATGATCAAACTATGTCGAAACACATTAGGTGACTGGAAAGAATTGTACGATGAAGATAAAAATCCAATTAAATGGGACTATTTTGTAAAACTAGTTAATTTACAAGATAAAGTTACTATTCATGCTGGAACAAAAATTCGTAACCGGCATATTAACTACTATAAAGAAAAGATGAAAGTTAAATTTGCAGCACAAACATTTAGCACGAGTGTGGCTGATGCATTTGAATATTGCTGTAATAGTTTAAAAATGGACGATTTTAAACACGTTGAACATACAGCAAAATTTTGTAGGCATATTAATAACATATTTGACGTCTTGAATACAAGAAATTTTTTGAGTAAAAGCGAGTTTAAAAAACCATTGTTTCCAAACAGTGAAAATCATATTAAAATGTTTATAAAAGAGTCAATTGAATACATAAAAAATTTAAAAGTACCTGTACAGAATTCACCAAATTTGTTTGAATCTGTAATTACATCCAAAAGGAAAACTGGGTTTATGGGTTTGATTATTTGTTTAACCAGTATTGAAAATTTCTTTGATGATGTTATTAAAACTGGAATACTAGACTTTTTCCTTACGTACAAAATATCCCAAGACCATCTGGAGATGTTCTTTTCTGCAATTAGAGCAAAAGGTGGGTYTAATAATAACCCTACTGCATCACAATTCGAAGCAGCATACAAACGCCTCATTGTACACAATGAAATGAAATTATCAAATGGTGCAAACTGTGAACCACAAGATTTGACTCCTATCCTATTTGTTACATCATCAAAACAGGTAACAAATACCAACTATTTGGATCTCTTGTGTACAATAGAAGAAGAGTCAGAAGAAAATCAAGTTACAGATGAATTGGTTTTCTTAAGTCCCAATGAAAAACGATACATAGATGATGTAGTTGAATTTATTGCTGGTTTTGTTGTAAGAAAAATTGTAAATAAAATGTCATGTTTAAATTGTGTAACTGCAATAACCGAAAATAATGATGAAAATGCATTTTCATTGATACGAGCAAAGAGTAGAGGTGGATTAATAAAACCGTCACGTGATGTAGTAGTTTTATGCAAAACAGCTGAACAAATTTTTAAATCATTTCAACATAAACTATCAAGTATTCGAAACGACCCAATTCATTATTTAATTACAAATTCCATGTCAAAAATACAAATTTATAAAATGTTTAACTGTATATCTGACCATA